CGATTCAAAGTCACGCTGCCCTTGTTGTTGGCCTTCAGTACTAAAGATTTTTCTCATGCCTGGCTTCACTTTGACTTCATGGTTAAGGTTTCAGCTAGTGATGCTATCAGACAAAAGCAGAACGCAATTCAAAACACCTACTGGAAAAATCCCTACACTCTTCCAAAGCTACTAGGTTAGGGTAAAAGAAGAGCTGGGACACCACCTACTGTGAAGCAAACACATGCATTGAAGCTCTATGGCACATATCTGTACTTTGATTTTCTCATTATTCTTTAGGGTTTTGTTGTTTCAAATGCAAGTTGCAAATGGTTTGGTAACAAGGCTTGAAAACAGATAGACCTTCTGCATATTTTAAAAATTGGCTACGGTATTTTATTTTATTTCATTCTATTCTATTCTATTCTATTCTATTCTATTCTATTCTATTCTATTCATTTTTCAACCACAGCATTTCTCTGGAATTGCATTGCCCCATGAAGCACACCAGAAATGACAAGCATATGCTGTCATGGTCAATACATCATATCTAGTAATTTTCTTAGGGAACTCAGGTATTTTTAATATATACTTCTTCTACTATGCTATATGGAGGTAAACTGTGGTATTAATAACTATGGAGAGAGAAGAGAGTAACAGGTAACAGGAGGGATATATATCATGTGCATCTTTGTGAGGCACTAAATTGAACCCTATCAGTGCAGATTAATATATTTTATAGCTGAGATCTGAAGTCTAAAAGTCACCTTTGTTTAATTTGTAAAATATTATTTTCTAAATACTTTCTAATCTGTGTTAATTTTACTTTGAAACTCAGATGTAAGACAATATTCCAGTTACTCTGGTCATGTGTTTTGAAGGTTAAAGACTACATGCCTCTCCCTAATTGTATCTCACCAAGAGCACGATACAAGTACTGAATTGGACATCTGCAGCTGTCCTCTTTACCACAGAGGCCACTTTAAAAAGCTGTCTGCTGTGCTTTCAAAGAAACCCATTGCTGTGTTCCAGCACTGAAGACAATAGTGGAGGGCAAAGATGTAACCTCTCTGGTCCAAATGTGATATATTCACATTACATCTCCTGCAGATGAAAAACCTTCTTACAATGAAGAAGAAAATGAATTTTGGAAAAGTGTATTTTTTGACTTATTGTTGCAGTCAGAAATGAAGTGGCAGAACTGCCCAATCTTAGTATTATTCATTATGCAGATTCATTATGGTTATATCTATCAGCCAACCCACATCAGATCCTCTTGTGCTAGACATTATAAAACCAAGAGCTGTTCTGAAAGTTGGACTATGCAGAAAATCATTTTGTACTGCTGAAATGTGTTGCTTGGAGGGGTGCCTAGCTTCATCACTTTTTTAGTGCAAACAATTTTAGAGTAAGAATAATGGTGTAATATTAATTTCACTCAAAACCTCAGATTACATAGGCCATGCTTCAAGAAACAGAACATCAGCCAGAATGTGTTGCTTGTTTGTGACTGGGAAAAGCCAGATAAAAGGTAGAGACAAGTGGTCAGAGCTGCAAGGGAAGGGTGGAGTGTGTTGACTGAGGGAAACACGAGGAATCAGTCCTTCTGACAGAAAATAGACTGGAAGAGTGCTAGGAGTACTGAACAAATATTGGAAAAGGTATGTTCTTCCTTAAGGAAGCAGAACTTTGTCACTACTGCTCCCAACTCTACCCTTGACTTAGTTTTCTGGTGGAAATAATACGTGAGACCATGAATATTGGCTCAAAAGGTATGTGAGGAACATTTTTTGTGTTTGGTTTTGCCCTTAATGTTGCAATGTGTTTGTCCTTCATTATAAAATAAAATTAAATGTGCTTTTTTCCTTCCAGCCTCCTAGCCGTCATCTCCACTGCAAATCAGATGACATGTTAGGGTAGGTACCTCTTCTTTCCAAACGCCTTGTTTAATCTCCTCCTTCCCTTCTGTTCAGTTTCTCTTACAGTGCAATAAACACTGGGCTTTGTCCACCAGTCTGTGTGTGTATATATTAGATCCTCAACCTTATTTGTATCCCTGATGACCTCTGGGGGAGAATATATCACCACTTTTTCATCTCACTACAGCAGTGAAAGTGAGTAAAACACAGTTGTTTTGTCTTTGAGTAATGGATTTTATGAGGTGGTTATCTTGGTAATTAAAAAACCCCAACCCCCTCCACCCCAAGAACTCTGAATGGCTTCTCCATTAATCACTACAAGAGCACCATTGACTTACCATGTTCGTAAGAGACATGCCCCTAACAAAGTAGACACAATTTTTTTCTATCTCAAAGAACATTTTATTTGGTGGCCTAATAGCTTTCACTCACAGATATTACATTAATAAACTGTGAGTGAAAAATATGGGCCTGCACATCTTAAATATATGGCTGAATTTTATATGTTTACCAATCCACTTTAAGTGTAAACCAGTAATGTCCAGGGCTGTTAGCCCAGCAAGACCGGGCTAACCTAGCCTTCTAACTGATCCATCTGGGTGTTAAAGGCTGGTGAGAGTACACCTCTGATGGGGTTACCAGATGTCAGCCGAGCAGCAGTGCCCACGCCTGCCCTTAGTCCATGGCAGTCATGAGATATGACACTTACATAACCCTCTTCCCCTGTAAAAGTGGATTAGGAAAAGTTTTCTCACATTTGAAACTGTTTATGAAGAACATGCCTTATCACCCTGGGTCAGTCAGAGGTAGATCATAAAGGCAATGCAAATCACTATGTGTCTGCTGTGACCAGTGTCTTGCTTCACCCACATTTTGTGAAGCTGGGCTTTTGTAGGAGGGATTTGTGCACCATGAATATGAGTGATTCCAAAGTTTTTGCCCTGTTCCACTGCTGAGATTTGGCTTAGTCCTGAATTATCCCAGTAAAAATGCTAGATGTCATTGGTCCTTCAGCATCCTTTACACCTTGTCCAACTTGAGCTGTGAGTTGTTGGGGGCAGGTTTACCCTTGATGAGACATTTGTAACAGAATGGCACAGCAAGGCTCTGTCCTGGCTGTGATGGAAATGCAAGCCTTGCAAAAAATAGTAATGCCTGAACCTCTGTGCTAAGATCTGCAGAAACCAGAGAAGTACCAAATCAGATCAGTAGGTCAGATCTTAATTGAGAAACAGAAATACAGCAAAAAAAAAAAATCTAAGCCCAGGCTCTGTTTTAAGATGCACAGGAGGGATGCTTGCACACTGATATTCATCTCTCAAAACTAAAAGCTGAGAAAGCAGGACCTACATGCCATGTACAGGAGAAAATCCAAGTTAGCCAAATCTATGTTTGTTAATCATAATATTGGTGAGTCTTTGATGGTCACAAGACACAGTGTATGGCATACAAGCAGGAATTAGCCTCTGTTACTGTCATATCTATGGCATGGGACTCCTACCATGGCAATTGTCATCAAAGGGCAAGAGGTGTTCTTCCCAGGAGGAAGCCCACATGGGGTACCCACAAGTGAGCTTTTACTGCCAGCATTCATAATCAGCACCAACAACTGCAGACTCCCTGTGTGCTGCCATTAGTCACTAAGGATTGAGAGCACGTATATAAGGAGAATACAATTAAATAGGTGCAAGTGGGATAAAATGCAACAGGACTTTACCGAAGGTAAGTTTTGTGAAGCAAACCCAGAACCCTCTGTGAGCAGAGGAATGATCCTAAATAAGGAGAAGGCAGGAGATTCAGCTTGGCTAGACCTCAGTCAGTATTTGGTACATGATTTCACAGACAGATGTTACAGGGGTTGATGAGATGCTGCAGCATGGATAAGAAGTTGATTAAGTAGAGATGCCATAGAGGAAATGCTGCCTCACTGAAGAAGCTCCAGAAGGATCAGGCATCACACCTATCTAAAGTGTAACAGGTCCATCCATGCCCTAAATTATGGACTCCACCAGTGACATTTCTTGATGGTGTGGCTGGAAGGAACAGCCAGGAGAAACATCAGAATAGCGTGAAAAAGTGTTTGCCTGAACTTGAGGACAGGAATAAAGACAGAAGTTCAAGCACCAAGCAACAAGAATATGTATTTTTAAAATAAACAATAAATATATCCAGTTTTGAGGCGCCTAATTGCGATTTACAGGTTAGGACTGAGTGGTTCACACTTGTGGGTCACCAAATGAGCCTAACATAGTGAGAAGACTGGAGGAAGTGGCCTTAAGGTGAGACAGGGGAGATTTAGATTAGATAATAGAAAACGCTTTTTCACAATTAGGGTGAGTCAGGCACTGGAATAGCTGCCCAGGGAGGCAGTGGAGCCACCATCCCCGGGGGTGCTCCAGAAGCGTCTGGCTGTGCCGCTGGGTGTGCGGTTCAGGGTTACAGTGGCAGTACCAGGTATCCCAAACCGCGGTAATTCCATGACACCTTGGTGAGACAGTGAGAGCCCAAGGTGGCGGTTTCACCTCTGAGTTATCAATACTATTTCTTCTGCTCACTTCTTGGGTATATAAAGGACTTGGTGTTCCCTACAATACAAAACTGACATAGGGACGACTCAAGGAAAGCTTTTGGTCTCCACCAACTCCTCTCTCAGGACCCCCAGCTCGGGACGTCACTCAGCTGCTTCGCAAGTCCTTTTTCCCTTCCAGCCCTGCCGCCTCTCCGAACACGCCTGTGGGCAGGCAGGCGAGGTACGACAGGACAGGACAGGACGGGACAGGACGGGCCGTGCCGGGCCGTGTCGCCGGGGCCCTCATGGACGCGCAGCCCAGACTCAGCCGCGCGCCCCGGGCCGTCCCGCGCGCTGCCCCCGCCGGCCG